TCTGTAGACAAACTGCTAGAATTCCAGTCATTGCAGTGCTTCATTTTCACAATGTGCCTTTCCTGCAAACTGTGAAAGTGTTGTTTACCGTGAGATAAACAATCGTTCTCTTAGACTGTTGCAGAATGTGGTGTAATACCCTGTGACATGATTCTGGCGAAGACAATTTGTTGTATTTGTCTGACAATAAAAAAACAAGATTGTATACCGTATATCAAGGAGTCGTGTTTCAGGCCCAGACCGTGGTCACTGTACTGACATGTGACTTAGACAGGTTTGAAACTCAGATGAAGGACAGAGTGGGTCCCCTCCTATATCTGAAGTACCTGGAAGATAGCTTGGGATGCAAAGAGCCGCACAACTGCATGGAATTATTATTTCAGTAGTTTGTTCTGATCCAAATAAGTGCGATATATAGAGATGAGATCATGAGGAATGAGCCAGGGAGCTGCTCCAGGAGAAGTCTTAGAGAGTAGAGATTTCTATGAAAACATGCACAAGGGCCGTAGCCTCTGAACTCTGCTGCCGACCCCTGTTTCCTGCAGGCCTACACGAGAGAGTGACGACGAGGAGGATGATGAGAAGAAGGGCAAGGGCTGCACCCTGCAGTACCAGCACGCCATGGTCCGGGTCCTGACCCATTTCGTGGCCGAGCCGGCCGACCCGGGGGGAGAGCTGGTCTACATGCTGGGCTCCGACTGGCAGGCCGACATCACGGAGCTGGTGGAGGACTTCTTTAAAGTGGAGGATCCGCGCATTGCCAGGCTGCAGGATGGCAGGGTACTGATAGGGAAGGACCTGGGCATCACCACCATCCAGGTAACACTTAGAGATCAGGGTGCTTGATCAAGCAATTGATCGGTTAAGCAAGTAATGTTCCGATGAGAACAACGCTGGTCCTGGAGTGCTGAAGGATAGTCGGATTTCTGTTCCCAACGTGCTCTAAATTACGTAATAGAGCATTGATCATAGTTATATTGCTCCAGGACTTTATTAATTGACTATTTAAACCTGCTGAAAAATTCACCCCAAGTAGAGGATTGTGGGGAGTCACAGGATGTTTTGCTTCCTGGTTTCACACAGTCACCTGACGTCCAAAGGTAGCCTCTGGATTTTTTAAAGAACTAAGCAATGAAAAAAACACAAAGATGAAAAAGAGAGAAGCAATGTTTTTGCTAGTTCCTCCAAACGAAGTAAGAACACACACGTGTGGGAATGAAGATGAAATCCGCTGCTCTTTATTCCACGGTGAAACCGACTGATAGTCTTGATAGCCTGGTAACAAACATTTTGACATCTGCCTTTTCGCACTGACAGGCTTCTTAGACGCGTCCCGTGTCGAGCCGGGAGAGATAAGCTCACGGTGAAAAGGAAAAAGATGATGGCAGGATGTTCAGAGTCTCCGGATGATTTTGATTCGAGCCTTTGTTTTAGCTGTGGAGGAAAAGGAAATCTTAAAACGCATTTATTAAGTATTCGAACGTGTTCCGTGAATTGGGGACAGCGACTGATTATGCTCACTTTTCTGTAATGAGAAACAGATAAGGAATGCTTTCTGTTTGTTGAAGCGCATTTGTCAGAGAGTTATCTGTTTGTGTCTCTCGGTGACATGAAGATATATTGTTTCTGTTATCAGTCTTCTCTGTAGTGCATCTTTTTTTAAACCAGCGTCTCTAGGTTGAATGCAGCGCTCGGTAATTTTAAACAATGGTAGAAATTAGTTTGCAATACCATCTTCAGGTACCTCTCAGCTTTAACCTTTTAGATTTTTTTTTTCTCTTGGAAATTCCAGCTAATGCCCTGATTGTCCTGAAATTCTAGTTCTGTTTCTTTTGCAAGATGGAAATTGCAGGCATTCCCCATTCACAGTTTGTGTGAGAGCGGGGAGTGACTTCAAACTCTTGCAGTCCAATTAAACTCTTTTTCATGAAATCTCAAGCTTTCCTGACCCGGGTGGTGGTCAGAGACTTATTCCAGTCAGTATTTCTGCTGTCTTTCACCTGCGTTTAGCCACCTTGAACATTTTAACATCTAGGTGAGGAGTGACTGGGGTGACCCTCCGTTGTCTTCTGGTCTTTTCTGTTCTGTGTTCACAACATGTACAGTCACTTGCTTTGTTAAGCACCTTGGGGCAACCTTGTTGTGAAAGGCGCTATATAAAAATACATTGAATTGAATTGAAGTGATGGCGGCGGTGTCCCCTGTCTGGCTGTCCTCCTAGGTGCTGTCCCCACTGTCTGACTCCATCCTGGCGGAGAAGACAGTGACGGTGCTGGACGACAAGGTGACCATCACAGATCTGGGGGTACAGCTGGTGGCTGGGCTGACCCTTGCCCTGCAGCCCAGTCCTGGCAGCAGCTGGGCCATCATGGCCATCGCCACTGGCCAGGAGCTCCTGCACTCCTCCAAGCAGGTGATGCACTCACCGGCGCACCATTTTCCAGACACAAGCTTCCCACCAACTTCCAGAAAAGAGCTATAGAAGTATAATTACTTTTCTTCTTTGTTTCTAGGCAGTGAAGCGTCTCAGGGATTTTCAACTCTTGCATTTCACTCGCTACTGTTTTTGAACTTGTTAGCATCTGCCCTAACGAGGCTAGTTAACTTTTGAATGCTTGAATTAAAACACCTTTTTTTCTTAATCCACATAAGAGCAAATTACATTAAAAACATTCCATAGATGTGTGTAGGCTCAGTCTAGCTGTAGGAAATTATTTCAAATAAGAGTTTAATTGCAAATGTTGGGCCTAAATCGTGAAACCTTCTGTTATGGTCTCAACTCTCAGGAAAGGTGGAACTGTGAAGAGAGATTTCCAAGTCAGCTGGTGGGCATGAACAGCTGTCTCTCTTTTACTTGAGATTCAACAGGGTGACATAGCTAACATTGAAAAAAATACATTTAAATGAAAAACTAAATTAAAAAATTTAGTCTGTTTCTTCAAAAAACTGCATCGTTGTGAAGTGACTAATTAATATTCATTCCCATGATTCATAGCAACAGCATGCTCTTAAAATCCACCTTAAACCTGAAAGGTTTTTCTTGTAAGATATATATACATACTTTTTTTTTTGCATTTAATTATCGAGCAAGAGATAAATTGCTATTCTATATTTTCCTTCATAGGTTTAATTACTTTTCTTCAAGGCATTAGCTATAACCTAACAGAATTTCTTTTTCAGTTCAATTATAAATAAGTGTTGTGCTGTTTTCTTTTTTATCTTGGGAAATTAAGATTGCATATAAACACAACACACTGAAAAATAACAGTTGCTTTGTGTTGTCTTGTGTTTTAATCTGTGAAACAAATAGACCATAAACACATTTTAAGTCTTCTTAAAAAACAGAAGACGCTGTTCGATGCTTTAGAATTTTACCTGGGAACACTCTCTCATGCAGCGTAATTAAGCTAGCAATATCCAGGAAAAATGATTCTTTTATTTATGAGCAAGAGAGTTGGATAACGTGGAATGTTTTGAAGTGGGGCCATGCTTGAGCTCCTCGCTGC